TTATAATATAATTATTAATATTTAAAATATCATTTATCATCTTTTTTGAAAAGAAAACTAATAAATCCTAATTTTGAAATTTGAAGTTTAAAACTTTGGTCTATTGTAATTTCCACATAACATATTGCTTAGCGGCCTTCATTATTTTCAAAATGAATTTTTTCTCTTATTTTTAAACAAATATTTTTCAATAAAATAATATTAAACACAAATCAAAACTTTTTCTTATTTTTTAGTCGCACATTGTCCATCAACTCACAATTCCAAAATGCATTTTTATCAAAAAAAAAAAGGTGGGGCTCAAACAGGATATTAATAGTAAATTAACTTCTAGTAAGTATGAAAATATAAAATGTATCTTAAAAAAAAACTTGTATACCACTTTTTCGTGCTGAGATCTAACCGTAGCCTCCTTACAAAAGGTGATTAAAATCAAGTTAAAAAAAACTATCGAAAACAAAGCCTACATATAAAATTAAGCAAAAATTTTAAATTTAAATATACTAAAATCAAGAAAAAGAAATTTTAATTTTAAATTGAAATTAAATTCTTACTCAAATTACGAAATTTGAAAACCTTTCCCATTGAAAGTGAATCAATCGTTGGGATAAATTCTGGGTTGAGTCTATAGGGAGGTGAAGACACACGTGACGAACAAAAGTAGATAATCTTTCTTTTAGTAGAAGAAAAAACTTCTCTGATAATTTGTATTATTGAAATTTGAGATTTAAGTAAAAGTTTCACTTAAAGGTTTAAAAAAATTAATTAATTTATCAAAATATGTTCAATGGCACGATTATAAGTGGTGCTTTAAAGCACACCGAAACATATATTTTGGGTCAAAAGAAGCTAATAAGCTAAGCCAAACATACTCACGACGTTTCAATTGCAAGCAAAAAAAATTTCTTTATTTTTCTGATAGATGGACTCACGCCATAATTATCAAAAATATTTTATTCTTCATTCAACAACTTATTTTCTAACATTAGTTGGACGCTCTATTACTGCCAGCAAAAATTGCAGCGTGCATATTTTCACATACAGAAACTGTCCAAATCTTCATTAAATCGTCGCGTGACATTCACATAAAATGTCTGTCTTCGAATTATTGAAAATGAGCCCGATTTCGGAAGCAAACATAGTTTCATTCTTCCAACGTAAAAAACTAAAGGAAACAATGTGCATATTTTTGAAGATATAACATTACACTTGCAAATAATAAACTTGTATATAAACTTAAATGGGCGAACACACAAATCCAGAAGTATTGACTGCAAGAATAAATGAAATAGCTATAATGGAGTGTAAGTAGGAAAACAATTCCATTTAGCATCATTTTTGTGTTTATACAATACATGGTGTGGTGAATAGCTAAGCACCATTATTGTTCTGCCATGGCTTGAGTACACCCACAACGATTATTGCGACGATAATAAGGAGAATGAGGATAGCAATGCACATCCATTTCCTCGAGTTTTTCTGTAAACTTTTTGCTCTCTGAAGCGCGGTATTCCCAGAATGCACATGGTCGACAGCAGACGAAACCTGAGAAAATAGGGTAGTGGAGATCAGTCTGATGATATACAGAATTCCTCGTATGCTACATCATATCGGACAAGACAGCATGGAGAGTTCACTTTTTCTTTACCTGTGATTCGATATTGTTGAGCATGTCTCCTTGAGCATCCACCAATACTGCCATGTCCATGAATATCTGCACGGAGGTTAATCCATCGATGAATTAAACAGCCTTTTCGTATCGTTTATATTGAACTCAATGAGTTGTTTCCTAATAAGTTAATGCAAAACAAACGATGCCAGGCCAACAGTCACATGTTGGGTTTAGAATCGTCTCATATCTTTTAGGTGGTCTAGACTAGTGAAAGTCACAGGCAGATTTAAATTCTTGCCAGAAACTGCAAAGCATCTCTCAAAATCCTAAAAAGCAAATAACGATGTAGGAAAAATATAGGGGGTGAATAGAAGGGATCTGATAGTGCATGAAATCTTTCAGTCCAACCAAGATCACTTACCGAGTTCAACAGAAAATTTGTAACAATACACATGTTTAGCATATACACATACAAGAAAAGTGGAAAATGACAAACTGAAATTCATCAGCTTCTTCATGTCAGTTAAGCATAACTTCAAATTCAAGATTTACAGATTTCACCTTTCAAACTCGTAGTTAACTAATGACAGCTAGCTATGAATATACAATTCATTTCACAAAGCTAACTAGTTAGCATGTCAAAACTGCTTAGCAGCTGTTGCCTGGTTTATTAGAAGGGTTTAGAAACACGGTAATGATGGTATCAGGAGCAGAGGGATGGGAGGGTCCAGTTGGAGCAATTGACCCCACTGCGTTTAGGAATTTTTCCCTTCAAAAAAAGGCCATTTTGAGTTGAAACTTCATGCTATCAAAATCTTTCAAACAAGCTAGATTCTCATCCTTGGCATCAGAGACTGATATCCGGTTTAAAACTACAGACCTCTGTCGTTCTCGCTTTTCTATTTTTCTAATTGCTGTTACAGGAGTTTTTGTCTCATTGTAATCAGGTCTCCTGGTTATGATTCCTCCATTCCATAATTTTGTGTTTTGTGAACTATCTGTTTGTATTTATACTCAAAAGCTCAAAATGTAAGTATTTCAACTGAAGTTTGTTCTGCAAGGGGTGAAAGACGAGTAGAAAAACCAAGTTATAGATTATATTGTTAACGTTCAAGATGCAATCCCATTGAAAAGGGAACGATTGTGAAAATTGTGCGGTTGTTAATATTATTTTACTACCAACTTGTTTGAAAAAGATTTCGATAGTCAAGTCCTGTCCCCACTCAATCCTAATCCTAGCTCCGGCCATGGATGGTACTAGGCAAGATGGAAAAGAAACAGTTTCCTTGGCCCAGAGCTAGCAGACTTAGATTCAAACATAATACAAACTAATAGAGATAGTATGAATATACAGTAATATAAGCTCGAACACAAGGAGACCAAGAAGAGATTAAAATCAAACAAGTACACAAAAGAAAACAAAAATTAATAGGATTTGACTAATTTGATCTCAGCAAGCCCATGTCAGGACTTGAAGAAGATAAAAGATCCAGTGTTAATAGCTGGCAGCAATGTGGTTGAGAGTAATTTTAGTCTTATTATCATTGCCAACAAATAAACCATAATACCTGTTGCAAGTCAAGAAGCTTCTTCTCTAAATCTCTAACGGCATCATGACGCTCTTGAATTTCTGCAAGCGTGTCCATTATCTGCAAGCAAAACAACAAATAAAGCAAAGAGGAAACGGAATAGAGGAAAAAATAAAGGAAAAGGTAGAAAATAGAGCTAACCTGGCCTCTCCCTTGCTCTTGAATTGCTTTTTGGAAAATCTGTTCGCTATCCCCAGTCTCTATTAATTTATCAATTGTCTGCGGAAGTAGAATTGAATACTTGGTAAATCTTGCACATTAAAAAAATGGAAATTATAAACAGAACTAATTTTACCTCTTCATCAGCTCGATTTCCCGTCACTGATGACCACATGAAACAAGAAACCATCACATTTTGTCAAGATATAAGAAAGCTACTGCAAAAAGTTGCAGAACTTTTTTATAACAAGGGGAGGGTTAAGACCTGTGAATACACGCCTCTCGACTACTTCACGGTACTCTTGATGGATGCTTTCTCTTAAAGTCTGCAAAAGTATACGTTAACAGAATTGATATACAGAAGAGAAGTTGTAAGAAAATGAAACCTTTTCATATTGTGCATCTGACCTACCTGAAAGTCAGACATCTTGTCTTTGAACTTCTTCTTCATGGCACTGTAGTCAAATATAGTTATTTAGAAGACATTTTATTTAAATATCATTAGACGTATATACAAAAGACATGCTCTCAACAAGGATTTAATCAATTGACTTTTCTGAAAGCTTGAACTACAATGTTCAAGGCACTGAGGATAATCCGTAGTCTACAATAATGAGCTTCACTGAGCCAGATAATCATATGAATCCTGAAAGTTGTTCAAATAAATTCTGTTCATTGCCAGGATTATCTGATTAAACATAATGGGCCTTAGTAGTGAAATTAAAACAGTTTACACAAACATTCCTGATATTGATCTTCGATCAAAAAACTGTTGACAGCGACAAAAATGATGATGAGGATGGATATACTGGCAGTATATCCAATTAATAAATAACTAATCCACGAGCCTTTCTTCAATTTACATATTATCTGATTTAACCTCCATTAAAGAAAAATTGAATGAGAACTTAAAACTAAGTGCTAAGAGAAAGGTGAATGAACCTGTAAACATGTGCAATTCAAGAGGACTAGAACTTGACACGTGGGGTTGGAGTCGAATTATATTGATGAGCTTAATTCTACAGAGATTTTTGACAATTCCCTACATGCCTAAAAATCATGCTTAAATTTTGAATGGAACTAATTGCTGTTATTCAGTCAATTTGAAAATGGAGGAATGATCGAATTGCAAGGACCATTTTCTTGAGGCTCTTTGCTTGTGAGAAGGGCTGTTTCATTGATGTCATCGTGGGATAAAATTCAAGTATGTGCAAAGAGAATGTGGAGAATATTTTCTTAGTCTTTAATTTATTTAATCAATGTATATGAGGTCTCCTTGTCCTCTAGTTATGTAATTGTTTTTTGCATTGATAAAATTTTTGGCTTATCAGTTATCAAAAGATATTGTCCACATGCCTACCAATCATGTGGGGGGGTAACTCTGCTCCTGGTTCTGATGCAGATAAATCAAATTCGCAAAATTTTAAGACCATTAAAAACTATAGCATTTTAATGTCTTCCATGTAACGCAAACATTTATAGAGAAACGTAAACAGGGCATGAGAATTGGAGTCTAAATTACACTGTAGTTGCTGTTCTCGATCTGTCAACACCCGATCCTTTTCCACATCCAGGCTTTTGTCTATTGGCTAAATTCTGTAAAGACAAGGAAAAAAATAAAAGATATCACTACTAAACATGTCTTGACAAATGAATGTTAACAACATGAGCTATATTTTCCTCACCTCTCTGTCAAGTTCCTCAATTTTCGATTTAATTAAGCGGGCAATTTTTCCAACTTCGTCAACATCCTTCTCCATTCGTTTCTTGATTGCTGCAGATTAACATTGATCATAAACAAGTTTTAAACAGTCAGAAGTCAATTTAAAGAAAATTGCAAGAAAACAGATGCATGTATTCTCACCAAATCCAAGTATAACGACACAAAGTCATCCACTAGAAAACAATACGCAATTCATAATCACCATGAATATGACCATGGGAATTTAAAATAAGAGAAGTGACAGTAACAAATCAAATCAGAAATTGAAAAGAGAAAATATAAATAAATGAAGTAGAATCCAAAAGTTACCGAAAAATACCATTGTTTCTTATGTGGCTTACATTGGTATTTAATTTTTAATTGAACATACAAATAATGTCAAGTTATGAATGCAGAATTTTCTTTGCACCAGACATGCCTATTTGGCAAGATTGAAGTTTCATAACATCGTGAAAACTAATTCATGCAACACCTATTGAACACGTATTCAAGTGGTAACAAATTACCTTTCATAGCAGAAGCCTTGGTTATGGCCTTGGATTCCTCGTGAGCATCCTGCAAAGAACATTAGCAAAAGGCACCACAAATTAAAAGTTATAGCACAAAACTTTTTCACCATCCCCTGATGTCGTTTTGAGTACCCTACAGGCTACAGTCATGATGTACAAGCTGACCTGATGATTTAATTAAACAAACCATGTATAACTATCAAAAGAGCAATATCATGTGCATATATACAATTCTATGTACACCAAAGGGCATACAGGGAAGCATCATGTATTTGTGTCAGTTAATAAGTTATCTTTACTTCTCTAAGAAAGAGACTTGCAAAAGTGTCTTCAGGAATTGAGGACACAGATAATGTTTCATCCCAACAGGTCAATTTTTATGTACTATCCTAGATTCCTCTGGTCTATAAGTAAAATATTGCTTTTTTTATCACTGAAAATAAGGACTTGAAAATTTTACAATGCAATCATCTGCACATGTAAAATCTACTTCTATAGAGGAAATGCAAGTTATAAAAAGGACTTCGAAAATTTTGCAATGCAATCATCCGCACGTGTAAAATCTTCTATAGAGGAAATGCAACTCTAACAACAGATTTTCAATAATAAATGAAATTAAAGGAAGCTTCGATGATGAGAAAAAGAAAAAGACTCATGCATAGAATGCCCAAAATAGCGGAGACACTATACCAGTGACCATGTAGGTGACCTAATACACCAACAGCCTAAGCAAAGGGGAAGCTAAAGTTAAAAGGTGATAAAGTTCCCTAATTATTCAGCTGCCACGGCACTGATAAGAATGTCACACCAGAAAACTGAAATACTGTGACTCGTAGTTTCCATGTACATGACTTGAATCCTCTGTAATACCATAGTAGTTCGCAACCATTTTACACACAACCACAGAAAATGTCTGCTTTTCTCACTGACTATATCAATGTGGTTTAGGCATTTAAACTCGCAAGGCAAGAAAGGAAAACGAGACCAAATTAATTTTCACACACAGGGGAAGACAAAATATGGACATGCACTGCTGGCAGTGTAGTAAATGAGATGTAAATTTCACAAGAACAATACAAGGAAAGAAAGATTTCAGTAGCAGAAAGAGGAGAGAAACTCATACCTGAAGCTTTTTTAGTAGCTTATCGAGCTTTTCATAATTTTTCTCAATCTCTTGAACCTAGCAACAAAAAGGAAATGGCAAATTAATACTACGACAAAAACAAAATAGAAATTTACCTACTTGCTCTCGTAACTGTATTGGTAAAAGTCAAGTTTAATGGGGAAAAACAAGAGAATAAGAGCCAATGATAACAAATTTCTTTCCGATGCATTATTGCCAACATTAGTCGACAGGCTACAGCACCTGCTTAAAGAAATTGTCCAAGCCTAAATCTCCTGAATTTTGTGCAAGTTGTGTTCCCATTTCAATATCTCCATTCCTAGAAGCTTGATCCCGCGGTGTCTCAAATGAATCCTGAAAAATGCACATAAAGTATAAGGAAATAATGAAGACCACCTGATGTCGGAGTGTTTTCCATGTCGACTAATATGCATGGGAAAAGCTTAGGACATGTTCTCTTTATCATTTTCAAGCCGTTTTCTGTTTTTGATTTTCCAAAACAGTGAATACGCTTTCTCTTTCCTATTTTCGAAAATGCATTTTTGAAAACAAGTTAAAAATTTACAAAGATTCGGATATAATCAAGCCAAAAATTTCAAAATGCGTTTTGGATGTTTTCCATTTTTTTTTATTTTTGAAAACAATTTTTCAAAATCTCAAAAAGAACACATTTTCAACCATTTCAAAATTGATACTCAAAATACAAAACTCAAAACACAAAACTGAAACATAAAGAGAACAACCCCTTATATTTCAGCCTTTTCAAATAGTTGGATAAGTTACGAAGGAATAACTTGGGCCACACAAATGCAACATATACAGGTTACATAGACATGAATGAAGAATTAGGCATGTATTCAACCTTTATCAGTTCTAACATTCATCAAATGAAAAGCTTATGCCAGTACAAATCGCTCAAGATGTTTCAACATTTCTTTTTGTTTCAAAAAATACCGTGAATAAACAAAGTATTATTCTTAATAAATTTGGACTTGGTTAGACGAATCTTTTTTTTTTTTTCTGTCATTCTATCAACCTTGAGGACCAAATAGAGTTTTTGAATAGATTTGACTTCATTTTCTACATAGAACAGATGGTTTTATGTTGATCATCTGTTAATTTTCAACATTTTGAGATGGGAAGCTTTAACAGTCAGGCCTGTCACGAGAAATAGTGATGTTTTTTTTTTTTGTGTTGTAGTAATGAAGTAGGTTCCAAGAAATAATGCATTTACTTATACTTCAAGCTCAATTAGCATTAATAATATATCTAAAGTTACTTATTAATTTTGTATGGATGTGCTTTCAGAAGGAATGTTCACAGAATTTTTATTCCTTTTGTTGTCTTTTTCATTTGGATGTTTTGATTAAAGCATGACGAAGACCACATAATCTCTTCACTTCTAATATTTCACCAAACATGAACTTTTGCATGCATATGTTGCATTTTCACAATTTAAGGTCAAACTGAGGGCTAATATAATCTGGTGGATAAAATACAAAAGAAATTCTAACAAATAGAAAAAAATTTGCCTAAAATTTCAGTGCATTCCCTAATGAACTAGCACAACTTAGAGAAGCCAAAACTATATATCAGTATAAACTATAAGGTATAACTTAACAGAGAAAGTAGAAGCCAAAATTAAAGAAAGAAGTTCGGCATCATTGAACCCATATCAAACATCTTAAGCAGTCTGTTATGTTAATTGAAAAGCCAATCTACATTTCCTATCAGCCCACTAGGCTAAAATCAGCATGACAACAAGTTTCTAACTTAAATTGAATCAAAATATTGCACTCTACGTCTTGCGAATCAAGGAAAGATCAAGTTCATTACTTCAAATGTCAATTCTCCTCTCAGAAACTTAATTATAAATAAAATGGACAAAACGGTTAAATATGCCTAATTAAAACTAAAAATCTGATGATCTAGTGTCATTTTCGGGAAATAATAATAATAATTAAAAAAAAAGGTCCAAACACACAGAAAAAAAATTTCGTATATTTTCAGCTGCTAAAGCTCCGATCTCTTATTACATTGTCTGGAATCCAAAGAAATTGAAATAGCAAAAACCCTTTTCAACATTTACGTCAACAATTAAATAAGCAACAACAAAAATTCATAACTAAAATTAATTGATTAGGAAAAGCAAAATAATTACCGTTAAAAGGTCGTTCATATTGGAGCAATTGAAGAAGATAGAATGCGAAATTCTGTCACAAATTGTTTTGATTCTCCTCTCTCTCACTCCTTCCCCTTAATGGCTTTATCTCTATTTCTTGTTATTTATTGGTGTTTGTAATTCGTAAAAGAGTTGGTGGAGAGAGAATTAGTGTTTTCCTGTAGGAAAAGCATAACACAGAAAAGAGAGGTTTTTTTTTTCCCCCAAAACCTTCTTGTATTTATCTAATTTAGGACTCATTTGCCATAATTAATTTTTTTGAAGTCAAATAAACTTTTAAGACTCAAAAATTGTTTTGGTATTCATTTCACTAATTTCACAAAGAACAATGCTACTTAATACAACTGGTGTTATAATATTATTCAACACCATTAATGTTATAACATCAGTTTAGGTGATACTAAATGTCATTAAATGAAAGTTACAATTAAATAAATCACATAATGTTACATAAACTGGTTTTAGATGGTATTATTCTTTTATAAAAGTGTTTTTAGTTAAAATAGCTGTTAGAGGAAGTAGGTCTAACGTGATTCCTCTAAAAGCTCTTTGGGAAAAGAAAGCTCTTTTAGAACTTAGTTTTAGACGTAATTTTTTCAAGAAACGTTTTTTCAAATAGTAAAAGCAAAAACAAATTAGGTGCCAAACACACCCTTAATTGCTTATCATGATTTACGATTTTACACGGTACCAACTGAATAGCATATAATCATTAATTACCCGAATTTTTTAAAAATAAACAGAGTGGATGTGGGCCCAACACAACTAAGA